TCCACAGGCAAGTGGTAGGAAGCCACGTGTCTTGGCATCAGTCCCCCTTAAATTAGAAACAGGACAATAGAGGAAGTCGTTGGCTGGAACAATGTCCTGTCCTCGGGGACCTGCATCCGCGAGCCGGCGGGAGCGCGGGAGAGCCCCTGGCCTTGAGTGGAAGACGCCGGCGTGTGGAGCCTGAGCTGCGCCCCTCGCCTCGGGGGAGGCGGCCCCGTGCTTGCTGTCAGACGCCCCGCCTGCGTGCCGGTGTGGGCCGGGGCTGCAGTCGGGGGCTCCGGAGGGTGGCGCTGCGGCGTTTTCAGGGGACGCAGCGTTCGTGCAGAATCGCCGCCCCGGAGAGAACAGCGTGTGGCCCTGAGGCGCCCGCCGCGGCCCGTCTCCCCGTCCTCCCCCCACACACACACACACCGCCCGCCCGCGCCTTCCTGGTCTTGCCCGGGCTTCGCCCTTGCGCGTCCCTGCGGAGCCCCGACGAAAGGGCCCTGCAGAGACCCCGTGCGCGGGCCCCAGAGGGGGAGTCCGGGCTCCTCGGTCCTGGCACGTGGGCCTGCTCGGCCCCTGAGCGGCGCCGGGCCCCGCCCTCCGCCAGCTGCTGGCCGCGTGACCCTCACCTGGGCGGCGCGGGGCACTGGGGGCTTGCCGTACCTTTGGCACAGGCTGCATCCTGCCCACTCTCAGACCATCAAGGAATTCAGTTATCGGGTTAAAAACCTAAAAAGCAGTAGCCTCCCTCGTGCGGGGAGGGGAAGAAGGGGCCCTGCGGGGTGTTGGGGATGTTCTGTGCCTGGACATCCTCCTGGCCAGGCTGATGGGGGCTGGTGGTCGCCTTCAGTGCCAGAAAGATGAGCAGGTCTGCGGCGCCCCCAGCGAGACGGAAGGGGGCGCTCACTCCCCGCGGCGGCGGAGCGGACGTGCTGGACACCTGCGGCCGCGGGCTCCGTGTTCTCAGGCCGAGGCTGACCTGCGAAATTAACGGGCACAGGTGCCGCCCGCCCGCCTCCACTTAGCCGAGCTCCTAAAGCCTGCGTGCTCCTGATGCCCTGCGTGGGCGCACGGGAGGGGCGGGCAGCACCAGGCGGGGAGCCTCGAGGGACCGGCCTCGGCAGAAAGGGGGCTCCTCCTCGCTGGACGCTGGTGGTGGCAGCACAGGCAAGGTAGAACAGGGCATGGACATACGACACAAGCCAGCTGGATGGCCACTGCGGAGAATGAACAGTGCCCCACCCCCGTGCCCAGGACAGGGGTCAGAGGTCTGAGTGGCCCTCTTAGATTCCCCAGCGCTGCCTGCCCCCACGGTCTGTGCCTCAAGCGTGTCCGAACGGGCCAGCACCCTCCCCACCTACGGTGGCTGGGCGCTCCCCGAGGGGCTCCCTAGTGGACGTGCGCCCCCGCGCCTCCTGCCAGCCAGGACGCGTCCCCTCCCGAGCAGCCGCTTCCCCGGTCTCCTGTTCCCCGCGCCGCAGCCCACCCCTGAGGGCCGTGGGCCCCGCATGCGGCTCCATGACAGGATGGCGCGGCCTTTCGCGCCCTGATGCCTCCGTTTTGTTCCGGGTGGTCTGTGCGTCCGTCACAGTGCCGGGACGGCCGGCCACGCGCTGGTGCCCAGGTGGCCGGGACGCGCTGGCCGGAGGAAGCCCTCTCTGCTGAGAGGAGCTGACTGTCGGTCGTTGAGCAGGCGGTGGGCGCTCACGGGCCGCCGCTGGGGGCCGCTCCCGGGCCAACACGCGTGTGCTCGCCACCGTAGATGGCAGCAAAGCCCCATAACTAGCCCTGCGCCGCCCGCACTGCCGAGGGGCAGCCGCCGCGTTAATGCCCGGGCTCCTGGGCTCACAGGCACACGCGCCAGCGCCGCCCT